GAGTGGACCTGTCAGAGGAGGACCCGTGCCTGGGCTGTGTGTGGCCTGGGGCCCGGTGATGAGGGGGGCTGCCCATGCCCTGCATGTGCCTCCTGGCAGCGCTGCGAGCGTGTTGGGAAGCGTGTCCAAGGCGACGGGTGATTCGTGCTCACTGTTGCCGATCCCGGCTCACAGTGCCCGCGCGGCAGCAGCCTGCCCGATGGGGTCTCCCAGGCGCCATCTTCACAGGGGTGGGTCATCAGGCCTCTCTTTCACCTGCAGGGCACTGGGTGCCTTCAGACTCCAGCTTTTCAGTCAGCAGGCATGTGCTTAACCATTGTGCCACCAGGGCTCCTGAAGAATGAAATGTCACGGAAGCAGCTTCCCCCATCCCCACCTCCCTCCCGAGGGAGCAGCGTTCCAAGTGTGTCCACTTCCCTCCGCAGGGCACCGTCAAGCAGCTCCTGCTCTTCTCCGAGGCCGAGGGCAGCCCCTGCTTCCTGGACGTGTGTGGGAGCTACCTGGTCGTGGGGACAGACACGGCTCACTTCAAAACCTTCAATCTTTCCCGAAGGTACAGTTTTTGTACAGACGAAGGTTGAGACGAATCAGGTTGTTGGGAGTGAGTCAGGAGATGACGTGGCAGGAAGGCTGGAGTTGAGGCTGGAGAATGCCTCCGACTCTGGTTTCCACGTTAGCGTCCCACCTTGAACACCGACGTCCACCAGACCCACCCGGTAGACAGGGTGGGGGCGGGGCACCGTATTCCGAGGCCAGTAGGTGAAATCCTGACTGGCAGCCCCATGTGTGAAGAGAACTGCTTCCAAGGGGCCCTCGGGTGGGTTCGAAGCGACAGCCTTTGCTCATTGAGCACTCAACTGTCTGCACCACCCAGGGCCCCCTTGCGCAGCCACTATTTTTATCCTGGCAGCAAACTAGAACTCAGTAGACGTCACTGACGGGACGAAGTGAATCATGGTTTATCCACTGGGTGGGAAACCACACGCTGGCCCCGTGCGGGAAGCAGCCCGGAGGGGCAGGCAGCAGCGAGACGCAGGGCTGCGTCTGTGATGTTCTGCTCTTACGTGGCAAGACCACGGGAGTGAGGACACTTACTCATGTCTGCTCACAAAAGCACTTGCGTTTGGAAATCTCCTCCTGTATGCTGAGTTTGGCCTGCGCCATGGTCCACACATAACACAGCATCAAAAGCACCCGGCGTGTTGAGTGGAGCATGTCCATGTGCAGAGGCTCAGGGCTGGCATGTCAGCTGAAGCGTGTCTGTGCACAGAGGCTCAGGGCTGGCGTGTCGAGTGGAACACTTCTACACAGAGGCTCATGAGCCCTTGCCTATGACCCATCTGCACACCATGGGTGGCTGGCACCCACGAGACATGGACCTCCTGCCCCAGTGACCTGCTCCACTCCTCCCACAGAGAGGCCAAGGTGCACTGCAGCTGCAAGAACCTGGCCGAGCTGCTCCCGGGCGCTGGGGGCATCGCCTCTCTGCGCTGTAACGCCAATGGGAACAAGATCAGCCTCCTCCTCACCAAGGTGAGTGGCAGGAGGGCCGGCCACACGCACGGGCACCACCCCACCTCCCCCAGCGGCTCACTCATCACCCGGCTTCCCCCACCCGGTGCTCTGGCTGCTGACCACCCAGAGGTGCCTCAGAAGAAGGGCCTGGCCATCAACTTCCAAAAGAATCAGCCTCTGGAAGTCCCCTGGGGCCAGTGCTGCTCAGACCCACGGGGCTGCCATCCCAGTCAGCTCGGGGCCGATGCCACTCAGACCCAAAGGGCTTCATGGCAGCTGGCTTGTATGTCGGTCAGCATGACACAGCATGGGGGTCATCCCTGTGTGCCCATCAGCACCACGCAGGACGGGGGTCATCCCTGTGTGCCTGTTAGCACCATGCAGTACAGGGGTCACGCCCTGTGTGCCCGTCAGCACCATGCAGCATGGGGGTTACTCCACACAGCACGGGGGTCACGCCCTGTGTGTCGGTCAGCACCACACAGCATGGGGGTCACGCCCTGTGTGCCCATCAGCACCACGCAGCACGGGGGTCACGCCCTGTGTGCCCGTCAGCACCATGCTGCAGTCACTGGCTCCAGAATTCTCCTGTTTCTCTGAGTTGAGAACTGTTTGCACAGTAGCTGTTTGGTGGGGCAGGGCCGCCGACTATCAACTACTGGAAGGAGGTACCCTAAGAGCTGC